TGGTGCAGTTGTGTTGGAGCCACAAACTAATTCGCAGCCATCACTTTTTTCGTACACATTTAAACCAGCAAACTTTTACATCCGTTTTACGTCTACATAAATAAACAAGCTGTAACTAAATAATTGCCAAAGACTGTGCAAACGTCAATAAACAAGCCCCACACACACACGGGCTCACATGGCGTGTTTCCGTTTCCGCTTTTGCAGGGCACGTGCGTGTCTGCGGCTTTTGGCCATGATTTCAGTGTGCGAGAGTGTGTGAGTGTGGTTGTCATGCCTGTTGACAAATTTGTGGTCAAGCGAAGTCAACAAAGTCGTTTCAAATCAAAGAACTGGGCGCTTAAAAAAATTATGTTTTTAATCCTCGCCATTATTGGCAGCTAAAAGTTAATGATGCAACGATTAAATTTAATGCAAGAATAAATGAACAATAATTCAGCATTAATAGATACCATTCTTGTCAATCCTTATAATGTCTATTAAGATTTTTGTACGCATTACAAAAATGAAAATATACTTTTTATAAGTAATTAAAATCAAATAAAAACACCTCTTAACAAGGTAAAAAACTAGTGACGATCGCACCTTCAACATACAAAAGTTCTGATATCAACATTTGTGACGAAAAATTATTACACTCGTCATTAAATAGACTTTTTAATATTTTCTCATTCGGCCCGCCCTAGCAAACTATTCCAGCCTTTTCCCCTTTACAGGCATTTTCTATTGCAGCGTGGGCATTTATCCCCACCGGCCCCAACAGCTCCAAATTTCGAAATATTCACTTTTTCACTTTCACCGCTCTCTCTCCCAAGCCAATTGATTTTCTTAGAGTCTTAGTATGCAATCCTGTTAGTTTTCGCAATACCTTTCGATAGGTGTATCATTCATTATGATCGGACCATCACAGTAGATTTTCATTTCTTCGTGTATATATAGTAGTCGCCTTCGCACACTCTCTTGGTGCGCTTCGTCACTACATGGACTGCCGTCCTTAGTGATGTCGGAGCGGGCCGGATCGGACCACTATATCTTAAGGCTTCCATAGGAATGTTCAAACAAACATAAGAAAATTCATTGTAACTTTGTAGGAAGTAGGCGTTTCGATTCTTGACTACTTAAAAACAAAATTTAAATAGAAACGCTGAATCTGGAATCCCTGGAACTGCACCGAGTGAGCATTACTTTATCTGCAAGGGTATATAAGCTTCGGCTGGCCGAAGGTAGCTTCCTTTCTTGTTTAAATAGCAATAACTCAAAAAATTTAATATAAAAAAAAATTTACTTGTGCGTTGGCCGGGAATCGAACCCGGATCAACTGCTTGGAAGGCAACTATGCTGACCATTACACCACCAACGCCCATATAACGAGGGGAGAAAACTTACCCCTATGACTCAAACCCACACTCTCTTTAATCATAAACGGGTTCTAAAAATAGAACAATCGCCAGCCACGCTTCACAAAACGAGATTATGGAAATCTTAAAGTAATGCAGAGTCCCGCATGAAAAATTTTAGGAAGTGTATTTATTAAGTCAAACGTGGAATAATTCCGTCACAAAATTTGAGATCATAACTTATTGCGATCGTCACGACATTTTACCTTATTTAAAGGATTTTTCGCTTGACTAAGTTTATCAGGAATTTAAAAAGTGCTAAATGCTTGCAAAACTCAATTATTTAGTTTGCTTAATTTACCCAATTTTTAGAAAATTCAAAATCGAGTTGGTGAACTACGTGCTGGTTAGCCACCTGCAAAGTTCGTAACTGCATTCAAAATAAAGTAGTTTAAAGCGTTTATAATTTCTTATTATTAAATTACCTTTCTGCACAATTTATTCCGAGGCAATTAACTTTTGCCTTGGTGACACAACCTAAGCCAGGTGAGAGGATTGCATGCTTGAGCCACCTATTCATTTCGCCGCTCCATCGTTTGGCTAAAGCCTTAAACCTCACTCCATTAGGTCTTGCCATTGCGTTTTTAATTAATTAATGTGCCTCCATGTGGGGCTTCGCCACTGTTTATGGTTTAAGGAGATCAAGCCAGACAAAGTATTAAAATTTAACCGGGCCGTGTGTGTGCGTGTAATTAAAAGTGCCGCCTGAAACTGAAAACTTATGCTCAGGACCTGGAAAGGAAACCGAGTCAACAACTTTCTATTTTGTCAATGAGCTGGGCTGCTCGCTTCGCTGCCAGAGTTCAGAGATTCCGTCCGACCCTCCTGTAAATGACACACTCTGCATACATATGCAGCTGGAAATAATTTTTCAATTCGCAAATGAAACTTTTGACACACACAAAAAGGAGAGCAAACTTTAAGTTTGCAATTGCTGCAGCGGCAGCAGGAGCAGGAGCAGTTCCCCGGTGGAAAGCGGTAAACCAGAAAAGGACGAGGACGGGGATTCGGGGATACGGGGATCCAGGAGGAGCTGGTCTACCAGCCCCGTCCAGCTGCAATCGTCATGTTCCCGTGCACTTCTTCTTGGGGTTTCTGTGCCATTTCTTGCTGTGTTTCTTTTAGCCACGGCCCCAGCTCCAGAAGGAAATTACAAACCAAAGTAAACGCCAGCAGCAGCCAAGGAAGTTGTTGACGCAGGACGAGCGCCGGCGCTGAGTGTCAGTGTCATATCCTGTGCCAAAAGTGCACACAGAACTTCGGCCCGAGACTCCGGACTTTAGATCCTCTGAATGGGAGTCCACTGAGAGAAAATACTGACTACTGTGATTAAACGATGTATTTTAAAAAGTCAATAATAATAACTTTTGGCACAGTTTAAGGAATAAAATATTATTTATTAATTGTATATAAATTAGATATAATTACGCTTCCTGTTCTCTCCGTGTAGGTCTAAGGGCCAGAGTTGCTGCACATTACAAATGAATAATTTATGCGCGCGCGCTCTCAGCGGCAGATGGATGTGGGATACGGATGTGGATGAGGCCGCTGGCTGGGGATCCAGTCGGGCGGATGGGTGGCTGGGATAGTGGGGATAGCACTGCCCGTAGACTCAGTCACGGAGGACTGCGGCAACGTCCAATCCTGGTCAATGCCAAATGAGTTGTGGCAGCGTCTCGCTGGTGCCATAAAAGGGAAAAGGGAGCTGGAAGCAGGGGATCAGGCATGGAATGGCGAGTGGAGGTTGGGAAGCTGTTGCTCGGCATAAACTGAAATCTGCTTCCCAAAAACTTCGCCCCAGAAGGGCAAATTACATGGCTCTGGTGTGAAAATTATCTTCCTGGCAAGCGGCGGTGGCACAGAAGACGGAAGAAAGCGCAAACTCAAAAGTTATTAGAGCAAATTTTTGCCTTTTGCCTAAGTAATGGCCAAGTGCATATCTCTCAGCACATATTGAGTTATGACTTAATTGGATAAGAGCCCGGTTTGCGCAACTTTGCACTCTCATCCCACTTCCCACTTTCCCACCGCCCTCAAAGCCCCTCTAGTGCTACTAAGTTGGGCAAAAAGTTGAGAAAACATTTTTTCTTCTATGCTCCGAGTCTCGGTTTGCGGTAATGGATCTCGTAAGACTCTGACTATGTTTCGGTGAGCCAGTAACTTTTCTGGATAATCTTGGCAAACGTCCTATAAATATCAACGTGGCCGGTTCTACACGTAGTGACGATGGTCAGTGGGAGAGTGTTCTTGTACTATATGTAAACGAAAAATATAAATGTTGCGATGGTCTGATCTTAACGAGGTGTACACCAAAGGTAACATACAAACTAAAAGAAGAAAATATAATCAAATTCTTTGATTAATTCTTGATTTATTGTTTTATTATACTAACTTTACGTTGTACTAACAGTATAATAATATTAACTGATGTAAACTACTGATAATGTCGTAATAATTGGCTGCATAGATTTGGTAATTTAACCATAAAACAAAAAAAATATATTTTTTAAATAAATGTAATTTTGTATCAAAATGAATGCAGCTTACCCCCTTTTATTTAGGTCCTTTGAATTAAACGTGGATTGCTTAGTCCTGCTAAATCGATTCTGAAAGGGATCCCAATCCGACCACACGACAGGTAAGATCAGACGGATGGAAGCGAACTAAAAGTGTCCCAAATCCCTACTGGGAGCCCAATCAAAGCGACTTTAATGCAAATGCGCTGCCGTTTCCTCTTTTAGTCGATTCCGTTGACACATAAAAAGCGGAAAAACACAGAATGGGAATAGAGATTCAGGGATATAGAAACAGCGACGAACCGGCAGTGCGATTTGTGCTCATTTGTCAATGCACGGGTGATGCAGCTTCGGTGCCACTCGCCTCACGTCAATCCACATAACGTATACGCCCCTTTGGCCACGCCGAATGCAGTTTGTAGGTCTCCCAGTTGTTGATTTTGTTTGCGGGGATGTGTGGGTCGCTTGGCGTTTTGGTTGAAAACACACGCGAAACACAGAACACAAAACACAGAACAATTCCATTGTCAGTTCCAGTCTCCATCCATTTGAACATCAAACACTCTGCCCTAAGCCCGCTTTGCTGTAGGGATTTTAATTTATAATTCAGCACTCGAACATGTCACCAAAGAGTTTCATCAATATGCACTCCAAAATCAACTCCGCGACGACGTAAACCGATTAAGCCATTCGGTGATTGGGAGATCCCTCATACCTAAATCATCAATGTTTCAGATGTGCACGAAGAGAAGAAAACTGTTTCGATAAACTGTTTGCATATTTCGGCAAGTTTGTTTTTTGGCGAAAGCGAAAACTGCAAGGCGACCAAAATATTTCGAATCGCGGAACACGGACTTAAACTTTTTATACAGATGAAAAAAGGGACACAAATGAACTAAGTTAAATTGATTTTAACTAACGAAGCAGAGGTCCCACAAAAAAAAAGGTTATTCTACTATCTTGAAGTTAAAGTGCGAAGAGAATATGAGGTTATTTTAATTGTAATTTTACATGTTCTTACTAACATCTATTGCCTCTGCTCGACCTGTCATAATGTCAGAATTACAAAAATTCCCCCACATAAAACATATCTTTTTTATACTTGTTGTTTTTACTTTGCTGTTCCTTTGACTGCGAATTAATCCCCAATAATTTTTTGTGATATCACAATGCCCAGCACCCTGAGCGCATCCGAAAGTCTCCAGGCTCCAATCGCCGGAGTAAAACCGCATTTGCAACCATGGGAGGTGATTGCGTGGTCTCCAGAACGCCTGGGCAGCATATATTCGGACTGGGCCCAATTCTTCGGCAAACAGCGGTACGCGAATGGACTTCGCTACTTCAACAATGCCCTGGACCTGAATCCATTCAACGCCAGAGCTCTGATGCGCCGGAGTCAGTTGAAAAGATCCATGGGTCTGGCACCGGAGGCTCTGAAGGATTGCTCTCAAGCAGAAGGTGAGTTCTGAGGATGATTTAGATAGTTATTGCTAACTGATCTGTTTAAATGCAGATTTGCTGATGAGCCTAAAGCCACCAGTCACGAATCCCAATGTCAGTTTGGAGGTTTGCGACGCTCTCTATGAATGCAACCGACTGGAGAATTCCAAAATAAACCTGCATTCCCATCTGAGGCGATTTAGCTCCGCTCAGACAGTGCCCGTTGTCGAACGCCTGGATGTGGTAAGCCCATTAAAAAAAAAAACTTTTAAAAATATATTGTTTTTTTGAGCATTACATGCCTTATATTTATTTTTAAATTTGATTTATCTGAAGGTGGTAAAATAAATGATCAACTTATTTTTCCAGCTAAGCGAAAACTTCCGGGACACATTATCAGAAGATACCACCATGTCGGTTCAACGTCTAATCAATCGCATGATGGGCAGTCTAGCTAAGCAGCCCAAGGATTTAAAGGATAATTGCGATGTGGTTAGCATATTGGGAAAAGAGGTAACCTTACTAATATAATATTCTGTTTAATTTCTAATACGATTTACGACAATTAAGGAAGTACATCTGTCGCCGCTGGAAACAGCGAGACGGAAGAGGCACTTTAAGATTTATAACCAGTCGTACCTGAACAAGTGCTGGGTGGATGTGGCCTTCCTCAAGAGACTACGCGATGATCCCAATGTGCAGCCCAAACATTGTCAGAAGTCATCCGAGTATTTGGGCAAACTGATGGCAAGCAATTACAAAGCGGAGCGCACTCTAACGGTTCGAGTTGGACATTTTAATTACCCCCGTACAATTGTGATTGCCTTTCCCTGTCATTTTTAGAAAATGCTGCAGACCCGATGTCCCATGTACGCCCTGCATAGTCAGAAATACCCCAACGAGGGGTTCTACAATAAGCAGAGGGAGGAGAATCTATATCGCATTCAGTACCAGACGAGACGAAATATGTTTAAGATTCTGCGCAGTATTCGACTGCTGATAAGAGTTGGGGAAGTAAATGTGAGTGGATTAAATTATAATAAGTAAAATTATGGGACTCCACTGATGGCATTTTCATTACTCCACAGAAACTGTCAGCATTTATTGAGGAGGTCATGGGCGATTATGTCACCATCAAGACTCATCGCGTAATGCCGTGGAAGTTTGAATTCACTAATGAGGTTTACAACTATTTGGCTCTAGCCCGCATTAATGAATACAAAATCCCCAGCAATATGACCGTCTTGCAGGGTAGACAACGCCTTTTGACACTTTTTAGACTGCCCCTCAATAATAGTCAGGAGATAAAGAAATCAAAGCTTAAGCGACCGAGTACTCTGAATATAACCAGATCGGCTACCACAGATCCCAAGGCGGAGAAATTTAAGTATGATGTTTTAATAATATTTAAAATAAATAATTTTAAAAAGGAAAAATTTTGAAATATAAATATTTTTAGGAAACAAGTTACCCGTCTGGAGAATCGGATGCGGTTTGCTGAGTATCACATAGAACGCGCCTATCTTTTGCATGAACTGGCTCAAGAGCACCTGGATTTTAATTCATTTGACGTGGCCTGCTCCATGGCCCGAAAGTCCCTGGAGGGTAAGTTGAGTGCAAAAGAAAGCTTGTTATTACAAACAACACTGTATTCCACAGAGGCCATCAAATGCAAGAGTATTATTTGGAGCTTCTTGAGTCTGATCGTTATATGCAAGGCTCACGCTATTCTAGGAAAGATCGAGCAAGAAAAGGAAATCCTCGCTGAGACTTTCGCGCTGGCGAAGAAAATGAAGAACCTTGACTTGTGCCTGTTCATAGACATCTGCATGAAGGTCAATGCGGAGGAGATGGAAATGAAGAGAATGACCATGACGTCAGACCTGATCTCAAAGAAGAAGAGCCTAGGCTCTAGAATGTTCCAAAGTAACGATCAAGTCAATGAGGATCGTAACCAAATTACTTAGGAAATATCAAAAAACAAAAGTGGGATATTTACAATGTTCCTTAAAATAAAAAAACATTTTATCTCAACGATCACTGCAGCAATTTCCTTTTTTCAGAAGTAATGAAAATATTACTAAAAAGAAAAATAATAAGAACAAGAAAGGAAGCTACCTTCGGCCAGCCGAAGCTTATATACCCTTGTAGATAAAAGAATACTCACTCGGTGCAGTTCCAGGGATTCCAGATTCAGCGTTTCGATTTATTTCAATTTTGTTTTTAAGTAGTCAAGAATCAAAACGCCTACTTCCTACAAAGTTACAGTGAATTTTCTTATATTTGTTTGGGAGCCTTAAGATATAGTGGTCCGATCCGGCTCGCTACGACATATGTACTACCTGCAATAGAAAGAAGACCTTCGGGAAAGTTTCATCGCGATAGCTTTAAAACTGAGAGACTAGTTCGCATAGAAACGGACAGACGTACAGACGGACAGACGGACAGACGGACATGGCTAGATAGACTCGGCTATTGGTGCTGATCAAGAATATATATACTTTATGTGGTCGGAAACGTCTCCTTCACTGCGTTGCAAACATCTGACTGAAATTATAATACCCTCTACAAGGGTATAAAAATATGAAAAATATCATATATTGGCTATCTTAGTTTCCCTAACATATTGCGAACATTATTTCCAAAAAAAAACGGTATCCCTTAGAGAAAAAAAGGGAGAAAACTTTAAAGTGCGACTTTCCCCTGGTACTTCCGGCCAGCCAAAAGTTTATCGCAATGAAAAACCCCAAGCACATTAACGGCTGTCGGTGTTGGGCATTCAATCACTGCAAAGTGCAGCTGCAACTTGCTCTTATATATAAATAGTTTATGTTTCTTTCCGCTCCTTGTTGCCGCTGGTTGGAGGCGGCAACCATTTCAGTGTAAACTTTGCACACTTTCGGATTTGGGGAGCGCCGGATCTAAGCCAGACTCCCCCGAAAAACTCAAAAGCTCCATCCTCAATCCCCACCTGCTGGATTTTCCTCAGCTGCCTTCACCTTCCACCTGGCGGCAGGAAGTTCCGTGCAACATCGCACAAAAGACGCAAATAAATGAAGCCATTTGTTGTGTTGTTAGCTGATTTTCGATGCAAAGGATGGCCAAAGGTGGCAAACTTTCGCACCACCTGCTCTGCGAAACGTTGGCAATTCCCATTAGTCGCTTGTCATTTAAATTTTTTCGACTTGGTCGTGACCTCGTGTGTATGGAGTGAATTTTTAAATTCAACACGCCAATGCCGTCCCGCAACTTTCCTTTTACTTTTGGGGGCGGGGCGGGAGGAATGGGTGTGGTCCTGCGGAAATGATGTTCACACAACGGAAGTGGCTCATTTGGTACCGGAAATCATTTGTCGTCCTTTGTCACTTGCTAAATTAACAATATTTCTCATTACCTTCTCATCGAATTTTGTATTTCAGTACTTGGATGAAACCCAGAAAAAGTGATTTCAGTTTCTTTACAGGCGAATATTTAAAAGTCTTATTTATAGTTTTCATCGAAAAATGATACATCGAAAAAAAGTTGAGAAATGTAATAGTTTAGGATAACCAATACGATTTAAAAACTAACTACACTCCGCATTTTGGATGGTTTTCTAAGAAGGAAAGTTATCTAAGTTAACTCTCTGACAAAATGATTAACCAATATCGTGTGCAACTTTTGCACATAATCAAATGGCTACACTTGCTAATTACAGTATAATGCATCTGTGCGGATTTGTTTTCCTCTGCCTGGGGCTTCATTTAACTACTTTAAAGCTGGCTTTAAGCAACCACAAAGCAGCAGAAGAAAATACAGCAGCATCAGGGAATGTCTTCCTTGGTCTCTGCATTGTGCTTTGTGTATTTTATGATGCAAAATTACACAAAGCCAAATAAGAACAAAGAATGCGAGAAGCGGGCAACAAAGAAAGGCAAAGCAAAATAAAACAAAGCAAAACAAAACAGCCCGACAGCAGCCAACTAAAACTGCAACTCAACTTTGTAGACACACCGGAGGCTGCTGCAGTTGCTGCTGCTCCCGTTGATGTTGCTGCTGCTGCTGCGAATGTTGCTGCCACCGCTGCTGTTGTTGCCGCTGTAATGGCAGCCGAGACATGCCATAAAAAGGCAGAAGAAATTGCTTGCAAGCAATTAAAAGCGCAGCAAGGCAAATAAATGGCCACGCCCAACGATCGACGCCCCACTCCAGTAATGGACTTAAGCTAAACGGAGTCGTCGCTTCGGTTTTTATGTAGTTACCAACTTGACGTAGTAGCTGACTAATTAGTCATAAAATTACACGACCCAGGACGAGCAGGCCGCACAAAAGCCGGGCAAACACCGAAGGAAAGGATCTGAATCTGGTTCTGCTTCTGCTTCTGGTCCTGGTCCTGGCTTCAAAGTGTCCTGGCTGGCAAGTCAGAGTGCACTGAGCGGCCGGAAGCAGTTGGCGCTGACGGAAATGCGTGCCCACCCGACACACACATACTGGCATCCAATCACACACCTACAGATGCAGGGAAATAAATAGCTGCAATTTTAATATGATAAATAAATGCATTTATTTGTTGTAAGTTTTATCTAGTAAAATATAACAAAATAAATAATCCATTTCGATTTGCATTTCGGAATAATTTATTAAGTCTAAAAACTTGCTTATAAAAATAATAAAAATTTAATTAAAACAGTTCAAACTGAAATTATTTATTAATAAAACTTATAACTCTAGAACTTAAATTAAATGTATTTAGTGCAATACGTTTTAAAATAAAATTGAAATATCATTATAGCCGATTTTTAATAGTCTCTAATCCTGCAAAATAAAACATACAAAGTATTCGTTTTTCATTATTACTTTGAAATACGTATTTTTAAAAGTAGTATCTGACGCGGTATTTAAAAATGTTGATAAATAGGATATTCACCTCATTCGACTTATAAAGACTCATTAATAAAAATTGGCATTCCGAAAACCATTATTGAAATAATCGAACAGCTACTATTTTGGACTCTTCTGTTCCTGGGAATCGGAGGCAACCGGGACCTCAGGCTTGGGGCGTTAGGTCTGCCACTAATTGCTGATTTCCCGTACCGCTGGCAGTGGAAACGGACTCGAAAACTAGCGATGGACACGTGAACGGAATGGCGAGTGCAGCTCCATCCCGATGGCATAGGGCAGGGGAAAGTGGGGAATGGAAAATGGCCCCACTTTCACACAAACACAGACACAGGCGCAGGCACAGGGAAACCAAAGCGAGGCCGCACATTTGCCACATCACTTATTAGCTTTATTGCTTTTAACAATTTCAACTTCCACTTCCTGCAACGGCAGGGAACTAAAACGTGTGCTGATTAGTGGCACACACCAGCACATACGTATCCTTGTCTGCCAGAGGCAGCGCCATAAATTCCTGAGCTGCAGGCAAAACTGCAGCCAAAGTCAAAGGCAACCTACACGACCCAGTTGAAACGGAGTGGGAGTTGGGAGCTGCACTGAAACCTTATAAGTTTTATTCGTTTTCTCATTAATATTTACAAAATTGTATTAAACATTTAATGTTGGTCCTTTGTTTCGAAATAGTAATACATTTTATTTTGGTTCTAAAACTAAAAATAACTAATAACTAAAAATGTAAAAAAAGTACATCTGTTCTAAAAACAAATATTTAACAGGTTCTCATAAAGTTTATTGTCTTCAGAATTATAAATTGCGATTGTAGGCACATTTATGTATCACCATTTATGCATATGGTTCTCTATAAGAAATCTTCAATAGCTGCCTTTAATAATAATGATCGGACTGAATGATTTTTTCGAAAGAGTACATAATCTTCGGATTGCCAAAGCTAATTTCCATAGTTGAGCCTTAAGTAACCACAAAGGAGTGCCCAATTTCGGACACATTTTTCCCTGTGTGGGAGTTGCGATTGCTGGGGCCAGACACATGCAACATTTAACATTGCAGACAATTTATAAGGACATTCATGGCACACGGTGGTGGCGATGGCGATGCGAGGAGGCCAGGCCCATAACTTGGCACTCGGTACAATGCGAACAGCTCGTCCTGCCCTCATCCGGCCCGACCATGTGTCCTGTTTTAGTTTTCTCCTTTTTCCCGTTCCCGTTTCAGATCCAGTTCCCATACTCATACCCAGTCCCCGTTCGCTTTCTCCCCGCTCGCATTGTATTTGAAATTCAACATTTAAGCCACTTATGGGCCAACTTGAACTGGCATTTCAAAGGCTGCATCGCAGCAGCTAAAGCAAATGCAGCAGGACAATGCCGCCAGGGAAGATTTATGGCTGGCTAAAAGCGTGAGAGAGGATCTGGTGGCAATGATAAATGCCGCCACGAAAACGTTTAAAATAAGGCAATAATATTTAGCATCTAATAAATGGATTAGAACAGGAACCTTGCCAGGACAATGACTTAAGTTCGCATAGTAAAAGGGAAAAAGTAATTGAACTATATTATATTGATTCATTTTACAAAAACACTGAAAAATGCATGCAGTGAACTTAAACTCTCGAAGCCCAACCGATACCAGCCAATCCATTTCGATATCCCCTCGATTAAGCCGAAACTAGCTCAACCTGTCAAACCGCCGGCACTTAAGTCCGCCTGGCTAGGAACTTTTATGGCTGCAGCTGTATCTACACTTTGTGGGCTAATGCATCGAAGACAGGGCTGTCATTTGAGCCCCGGCAGCAACACAGAACAGGTCCCAGCATCCACATGCCATTCGATTCCGGCCAAGTCATGGGGGAGACCTTAAAGAGGGAGGCGGACATGCAAATTAGATTCGGGCGAGGTAGCAACGGGGCCAATCCCGTGTCCAGCCGAGCGACAAGGATAAGTAAGCCACCGATGCCACCCGATGCACTCCAGGATTCCCAGCCGCACGAGAGAGGTCATTGTCTGGGCACAAAAATCCTACTGCACATGGTGAAATCTGCGGAAAATTAGATTCCACTCCCCCAACTGCACCGCATATGTGCATGAAAACTGCTGGCTGAACGTGCTGGAAAATCCACTGTTCGGGGGCTTGCCAACT